TTTTTTTTTTTTTTTTTTTTTTGTAATATTGATCTTTCAAAAAGGCAGATTAAAAAAACAGTGCAATCAAGATCTGTCTAGCGTTTGTAGTTTTTGTACCTAATAGCTATGGATTTTTCTAGAGTCAAGCCATGCGCGTTGTTCGAACAATCGGCCAGGCATTTGAGGTATGTCACAAAGTTGCTCAGGAACAGATGCAGGAGCGAACCCAGGAGGATAACGAAAGTAACAACAATATGAAAAACAAAGGTACTTACTGATGATTACATTTAAACTTACTGAATGACTGACGAAAATTTTCTATTCCCATCTGCGCATTTCTCTCCCTCTCGCAGTTACCAGCTTCCAGAATCTACTCGGCTTTGTAGTGTGATCTCAGCAGACATTCGTTGCTCCGGATGTCCAGTGATCCTAAACTGTGCCGCTTTGGCTGTGTCTGGCAAACAATCGGTTGAATGTTAAGAATGCAGAACTTTCTTTAATTTTGGATGTGTCTTAGTAGAAGTTAAGTAGTCGACAGCCGAATAGCACTAGTCAAATAAGAGCTTATTCAATTGTTTCAAATTCTTGCTTTCTTTGGAATACTATTAGAAAATTTGGCAGTTACCAGTTAATAAAGTTATAAGTTACATAGAGATTGTCTATAGTAATAAGTACTAAAAAAGAAGATAAGCAAAAGAGATAGAAGTATGTTTTTTGTACTGTGATTTATTTCGCTGGGTGATTTTGCTATGTAGGTAACGTTTTGTAATGAATTGTCAAAGCTTATTGAGTAGGAAAAGAATATTTTTTATGTGGTTCAATATTACCTTTTTCAACTTTTTCTGCTAAATTTGATTCTAGTTTTTCGTACATTTTATTTTTCTCTTTTATTTTTTCTACTTCTTTTATTGTATTTAAAGGCGCTAAATATTATTTCTTAATCTTCTTTCTTGTCGTTAATTAAGAGGATGAAACAGGTAGACAATGGAACGTGTCATTTGAATAGTGCACTTTTTGGAAACTTTTAGTTGTTTATTATTTGGGGGGTTAAAGTCAAGATAAGAGTCTAATTAAGAATTATTAAGTAATTTGTCAAAAATTAGTTAACTTTAAACGTCGTTTGCAGTATTTGTTTACACCAGAAAAGCTTGGACAAAGTTGTTGTAGTGAAATAATTACTGCTACTGGTGAATCAAAACAGTTAATAAATGATGTTGATTGATTTGTTTAAACAGGAGGCTGATGTTTGTGTTTGAATGAAAGAAAAGCTGTTTTTTATGTTTTATTAATAATATGAACTGAGAGGAAAAAAGTTTTTTTTTTGAACCTAATTGTATGTGAGTTTTTTTTTTTTTTATTCGTCAATTTTAAATGAAGAAGAAGGAAAAAACGTAAAACAAGTGTTTTGTTGCTTGGTTAGTCTTCTTCAGACGGTAGAAAAAATGTACTGCTGCTGCCGTTTGTTGCTTTAAAACAACAGGAGCAATAGTAACAGCAAAAACATTAACAAATATCCTATGGTTTTGAAAAAAAAAAGACAAAATTATAGTTTTTTCTTTTATTCTATGAATAAGATTTAAAAATTTGAGTATTTAAGGCGGATTTCTTAATTGAAACTCGAAAAGGTTTTCAATCATTTCTGTGCCTCAACAGTGTTATTTGTTAAGTTAGCTGAATAGTTAAGAAGAATGGTGCAAGCAAAATGCTTGGATAAACTGCTATGCAAAAACGTCTAATTCTTTTTTTCTCCTCTTTTTATAGGCAGTTTAAAGTAGTTTTCAAAAAGTTTTAATTTTTTACCAATGTATAATTTTTTTACACTGAATCTTTTATAAGCACGCATACATAGAAGCACTAAGTAATTGTTTAAAAAATGGAAGCTAACAATGTGTAATGATTGATATATCAAAACTTTATAGAGAATATTTACAAGGCTAAATTAAGGGAGGCGATGACGACGCTGAAAAGACGTAATTATGGAAGGAAAAAATTTTATTTTTTTTTTGTTTTGTTTTTTTGTAACCGAAGGAAATCTTTAGAAAGACTGAGAATATTTTGGTTGATAGAGAAGGGTGGCTGAGTGGTTTCTGTAAATTTGCCACTTTTTTACGGCTTTACATTATTTGATGACTGCAAATTCTTATCATTTGTGATGGTTGTTGGGAGGAAAAAAAAATGAAGCGAATATTTTTTTTAAAATTGTTTTTGTTTATGTTTTTTCTACTTATGTTTTGTGGAAAGGTGTGAAAAGTTTGCTTTTGGAGTGGCAGAGAATGCTACAAACTTAAAGACCTTAAAGAAGGCAACTTTTTTTCTGTGGTGAGCATCTGCTTGGTTCAAAAATCAGGGAAAAGTGAAGAGGAAAAGAAAGGAGAAAGGGAGTAAAAAGAAGGACCATGAGTGAAATTTTTTTCTATCTTCATTGTGTGTCTTAATAACTGAAACGAAAAAATTTTTCTTTTTTATTTTTCAAAACTTTCTTATGTCTTTTTTTTTTTCAAGTTTTTGTTGCTGTCGTATATCTAAGGGGTTGAGAACAGGAGTAACCTTGCAGAAGCAATAAACCACTGAATGACAAGTGAAGAATTGAGGTGGAACAGTGAAATATAGCACACGTATTTTATACTACTGATGAGAGTAGTTAAGCAATTAGACTGAACTGTTTTTAGAAATAGCTATAGTTCCTCACTAATTTGCAGCAAGGCACAGTATTGCTAAAACACTGTAAAAATCATTTTCATTCTGCTTTTGTTTTTATTCTTATTTTTATATTTATTTTTATTTCTGCTAGTGTTTCTATTTTTAATTTTAATTTTGATTTGATTCTGTTGTGTTTCTTTTCTATTGATTTATATTTTTCTTTACATCTATTTTTTTATCTTCTTTTCACTTTAGTGAAATATTACTGTAGAAATTGAAATTATTATAACGAAAGAATTCTGAGGAACAGATTGAAAAAAATATACATTTTTGCGTTTCTTTCAGATTAAAAGAAAAATTTTCTCTTCGAAATGGAAGGAGACAGTTTTGACTTTGATTTTTTTTAGGTTATGAATTTAACACTTTTTGATTTTTTTTAACGAAAAATAAAAACAGTTTTTATTGTTGAGTAATTATGGTGTGCTTTTCATTGTGCTTGAGCAATATTTCTTTTTTTTAAGTTTGTTTTTGTGTGCTTTAAGTTTTTCAAGTTCTGAAATTTATTCCTTCTAGTAAGCATTTGGGAGATCAGGAGAGGGAAAAAGGAGGACTGAGAGTGCTGACTTAGTAGAAATTGGTTAAAACAGAAAAAAAAAAGTTATTTTTATCTGTTTTTTGAATTGAAGGAAAAAATTACTTATTCTAGAAATAAGATTAGCCTTATACGGTTTTACTTATTAGTTGGGTGCAGTACGGGGATAAAGAATTGTTCACTGGTATAACATCGCAGCAATGTTGAGCACTGATTATCTGACATTGTATGTTAAATTACTGTTTTTAATTGGAGAACACTGAATCAATCGATTGAATTTTTGCTTTAAAAATTGTAAGTTTTCAGCTGCTACTAAAGTAATAACAACAGTTGATTACTTATTGCAGTTGATTTGTTGACGATGAAAAGAAGTAATTTTGATTGAAAATTGCTTCATTTTATGGAAAACTGCGCACTGACAACAACAGAATTAATCTATTTACTGCACAGTTCGTTTTTGTTAAAACTATCTGATTGGTTCAGAAGCGATAGTATACGAAACGATTTTATAACCGCAAAAAAAAGCATTACAAAGAACAACGTTTTGATTTACTATTTGATTACATAAAATGGCCACTTAGTTAAAAATACTGCTAATACTGCTGCTGCTGCTGCTGATGATGCCGCTGCTGCTGCTGCTGCTGTTGGCATTAATTGCCGCTGCACGTTGTCTTTCTTCAGCTGTACATTTCCACGATTGTTCTTTCCGATTCATTAATAACGGCTTCTTGCGCTCAACACAGTTTATCCTCTCTATAACGTGTGCTTTTTCACTGACATTTTAAAACATCAGACATCACAAATTATTGACTTTAAAACTGCCTCAATTTTTTTTTTTTACAGTTTAAATAAGAGTCAAAAAACAAGTT